TTTTTTTTGTGTCTTTTTCTTCTTCTTCTCCCTTCGCCGCGTGCCCACTAATCCCTGTCCATCCCCGAAGTCAGAAGACATTGACAATAAGTTCTATATATAGGTCGACCCAGTAGGCGTTACCCTTTGAAACAGATCGTATTTACCTTGGAGGCCCCAGATTTTTGTTTCCCTGCTGTCTGGTTTTTAATGAGGTGGCACATTAATTTTGATCCGGAGCCTCAGGAAAGCTTTAATGGATGCATAGATAAACAGAGTGACGAGGACTTTTTATTGATTGTTTATTGATTTTTGTTTTCGAAACTGGCAGTTTCTGTTTATTTTTGGAAAAAGGAAAGTGGTTAGCAAATTGACAGTGCCGTTTATATTTAGAAAGGTTTATGTATGGGTGTGGGAGATGGTGGGTGGTTGTAGCAGAGAAATGCGTTATTCCCCTTTCGGATTAAAAGAAAATGTTTACTTAAGACAAAATTCGGAGGTTAGATTTATTATCATCACAAGCACAGTCGGGGAGGGGGGGGGGGTCTTTTCATGGCTGCTGTAGTGTGGTCTGCTTCTTTTACTTCTCGTCAACGATTGTATGTGCTTGGGTTAAGTGTCGTCGTCTGTGATGTTTCCTTTTTTTTTAAAAAGTTTCAGTAAGAGTTTTACGGAACTTGCAACACAATAAGGTCATATAATTGCCGAAGAGTAGAGGTGTTACAAGAGAGTAACAAACACAAAAAAGGGGAGATGAAGACGATATATTTTTTTTTTAGGAAAGAAGAAGCAAACCACACCAGAGCACCCGCCAACCACCTATTTGTTACGTTTAAGGGCTTTGCAGTCGTAGGCAAAAGACCTGAGTTCGATTCCCGTACACTGTGTGAAGCGGGTTTTTATCGAGTATGTCGGTCTTTCTGATCCTGGTACGTTGTATCCATTTCAACCCAGGTCGGGCCTGGGAAACTGGGTCAAAGCGTACCTCCTCCTAAAGATATAAATTGTGTCGATGGGGGTGCCAGAACGCTTCCCTTGCTGCTTCTTCTTTCCTATCAAACATGTCTTCCTTATCTCCCCTCCTTCTTTTCTACGTCTGTTTCTCTCTTGTAACACCTCTAATCTTCTGGCGCTCATATTATGACCTTATGCAGTTGCGAGCGTCGTAAAACCTTCTACTTAAACAAACTTCCCTTGTGGGGTAGGTGTAACCTTGCCTCTGGCGTTGCTGACCAGCTGATCACACTGACAACCCTCACTGTGAAACTTTGGAACGTTTACGATCTCATTGTACCACCTCCATTGCCTCTGTTTACATGTTTTTCATTTATTTTCATTTTTTTATATATTTATTTTTTTTATTAAATTATTTT